GTGTGTGTGGGCACAGGCACTGCCCCACCTGGGTTCCTGGCTGCAGGAAGAGATGAAGGAGAGAGCCCAGCGCTGCTGCGGGTGGTGGGGCTGCTGCGCCTCCCGAGGAGGAGGGAGGAGGCCGGGAGGAAGGCCGAGCGGGAATTGTCTGGCGTCCGTCCTGTCCTGGGAGAAGCCGGGCTGGGTTCTGCGGTCCCTCACCGGGGCTGGAAGGAAGACTGGTGGAGTCAGGGACGGGGAGCGCTTTCCCGGGACACGGCTCCAAGGCCTGGCCGGACCCAGAGCACAGGGCACTGTGCCTCTACGGCACCTGGCGTGTCCCGGGCGCAGGGCAGAATGGGGCTGGCGCACTAACACCACGTGGGGCCCTTTTCTGGGGACAAGAGCCAAGCAGAAGCCTTCGCAGGTGCCCAGGAGCCAAGGAGCAAATCAGAAGTGACATCATGCTTGCCCTAGCCAGTACTGTCAGTGGTTAGAGCCTTGGCTTGTGGAATGAAGGTCCCGGGTTCGATTCCAGTCAAGGGCACTTGCCCAGGTTGTGGGCTTGATCCCTAGTGTGGGGTGTGCAGGAGGCAGCTGATCAATTATACTTTCTCATCATTGATGTTTCTATCTCTCTCTCCCTTCCTCTCTGAAATCAATGAAAATCCTATATAATAAAAGCCTAATATGCAAATTATTCCCTCGGGTGGTGATTCCACCAGGAGACCCGGAGTTCAATCACTTGCTATGATGTGCACTTACCACCAGGGGGCAGCGTGGCACTGGCAGTGTGCGGCAGTGGAGGTGCTGGGCCCTGATGGGCCCCGATGAGAGGGGGACCGCGGTGGGATGGTGGACCAGGTGAGTGGGCGGCGCCAGGTCAAGGTGGGTGCGAGCGGGGGGCCCAGCAGCCGGCAGGCCCTGATCACCCAATCTGGGCTGGGCCCCGGACTGGGACAGGGGAGTGGCAGCGACCAACCCCCCGCATGGTGCCCTGGCTGGGGGCTGCGACCTCTCGCCAGCTACCTGGGGGCGGGGGGATGGGGACAGAGGTGCCCTGCTACCCTCCCCCAGGACGCCAGGGCTCTCCCGCACTGGGAAAGCCCCCCTGTGCTCAGGTGCCAGGTGTCGCCAGGAGCCTGCCCAGCACCCACCCGGCCTCTTCCGGGTGAGCTGGGAATGCAGGGGCCGGCCAGGCTCCCCCTGGGTTTGTGCAGGAGCCGATCTACAAGGCCAGCGGGGGAGAGTGTGCTGCCCGCCAGGGACGGGAGCAGGGTGGCCCCACTCACCATCACCCCCAGCCCTGAGACCTGCTGGGTGGGTGGTGCAGGCTCTTGGCAGGGGGACGGCTCTGGTCGGCAGGGGGACGGCTCTGGTCGGCAGGAGGAGGCCTGGCTGCCGTCAGACTGGGCTTCTGCTTTCTTTTTTTTTTTTTTAAATATATTTTTATTGATTTCAGAGAGAAAGGAAGAGGGAGAGAAACATCAATGATGAGAGAGAATCATGAGTCGGCTGACTCCTGCATGCCCCACACTGGGGATCGAGCCCATAACCCAGGCCTGTGCCCTGACCGGGAATCGAATCGTGACCTCCTGGTTCATAGGTCGATACAAACCCTGAGCCACGCCGGCTGGCTGGGCTTCTGCTGTAACGGTGAGTGGACACGGGGGCTGGGAAGGGGTGATGGTCAGGCTCTGACCACCGAGGAATGGAGATGTGGTCATAGCACCAGGTAAGCAGTCACGGCCGGCCGAGGCGCTCACTGAGTGAGGGTGGGAAAGAGAGGGTGGGCCCAGTTGTGGCCCTAAGACCTACCCCGGCAGCGCCGCTCAGGCAGAGGGGTTTGCAGAACACAGTGGGGCAGGCCCCGCGTGCAGGGTGGCTGTGGGCTGTGGGCATGCTCGGCTCTGCGCTGTCTGGGCCCACACTGTGGCCTCAGGGCCCGAGGAGCATTGGCGCTGAGACCACGCTCCGGCTGTCCAGCCCGTGGCTGACTGAGCAGGACCCAGGGTGCCCACACGGTGGTGGCAGTGCCCCAGGGCCCCGTGGCCAGCAGCCAGAGCCTCTCCCGCCACCCCTCCTGCCCTCTCCCCGTCAGACCTACACCCTGGGCCAGACTCCCTGCGCCTGCACCCTCCTGAGCCTTCATCAGTGCCCCCCAAGGACTTGGCAGGTCTAATTCCACTTGCATCCCCTTCTTGTGAGACCTAAATGGACACACTAGCCTCTCCCTCCTTCTCTCTGAAATCAATAAAAATATTACTACTGAAAAACAACAACAAATTGTACCTGCCTGAGCAGAGTCCTGGCCCAGAAACCTGGCCAGAAATTGGGGGCCATGCCGTCCGTGGGTGGGGCCGTGCCGGCTGTGGCCTTAGGTGGGGGCTGTGCTGTCCGTGGCCTTAGGTGGGGCCGTGCCGGCCGTGGCCTTAGGTGGGGCCGTGCTGTCCGTGGCCTTAGGTGGGGCTGTGCCGGCCGTGGCCTTAGGTGGGGCCGTGCCGGCCGTGGCCTTAGGTGGGGCTGTGCCGGCCGTGGCCTTAGGTGGGGGCATGCCGGCCGTGGCCTTAGGTAACGCCTTTGAGTGTCTGTGCTGCAGGGACCTGGGAGGAGCTTGGATGAGCCCCCAAGCCTCCTGCAGCCCACCCCCACCCCAATCCCTGCCTGGAGACAGCGCATGCTCTGCCGGCTCCCTCTCTGCGTGTAGGGAAGGAGAATTGATGACGTCGATAACGATAACGCTGGTACGAGCTGCCCTGCGGCAGCCCTGGGTGCTGGGCACACCCTCTCCTGCCCTCTTCCTGTGCCACAGAAGCGGCTTCCCTTCCCTGGGCAGTGGCTCCAGCGCCTCCCCGACGGCTGACCTCAGCTACACCTCCACAGCTGGTCCCTGACGCCCGTCGCATGGCCCTGGGTTCGGGAGGTAGAGCGGCCCCATCCCGAGCCCCTCCTGCTCACGGTGGTGGTGGAGGTTGGCTCCTCTCCGCTTTGTGCCTCTTGAATGCTAAGCTCAGCCAGGGTTCCCCTCTGCCCATAGCAGCAGAGGCCGGAGAGGCTGGGAGGGAGGGACTGCGGAGAGCGTGCTGGGCCTGGTTTGCAGGGGAAGAGGGTGGAGGAGTGTGCAGGGGGAGGGGGGGGCTGCAGCTCCAGCTCGGCCAGGGTCCTCTGTGCCCGTGCCCCCCCCCCCCGCCAGGGCTGAGCGTGCCAGGCACAGAGCAGCAGTCAGAGTGGGCGGAGATGGCGCTGGTGGGATCAGGCGGATGCAGCTGTCGCTTCACGTCACAGCAGCGATGTACGGGCTGAGCCGGGCGCAGTCCTCAGGGGAGCACCTGGGCGTCCCCCAGAACTTTCCACTTGGTGACTCCATCCCCCTGGTCTTTGCCTCGGGCCCCTCCCCTTCTCTGTCACCCGGGGCTCTGAGAGGCTGTGGGTGCTTGGCGTTGGGGGAGCTGGGGGGCGGGAGCTGCTCTGGGGAATCGAGTGGCCATGGCTTCTCCTCTCTGCAAATATCGGGGTCTGGGCCCTCCCACCTCCCTCCTCCCTCCGGCGCTTCCTCACTGTCCGAGAGGCTCTCCAGGTCCCCCCGGCTGGTGCCTGTGAAGCGGCAGCTGACGCCAGGCTCAGGACACCAACCGGAGCGCTCAGGGCTCCTTGCTGGTCCCAGGCCTGAGGGGCACCAAGCCCAGAGCTGAACACAGGAGCCGCCAAGGCCCCCAGGGCTGCCGGCCTCACCACTAAACTCCCCACCGGCTTGGCCTTTGGTGCGATGATCCGGGCCAACCCTCGGGAGGGAGCACCAGGGCTTTGAATGACGCTTCCCCCAGGCACTCGCTGGTGATCCGGGCAAACCTCTGGGCTCCACGGAGCCTCATTTCCTCATCTGTAAAATGGGACCATGCCAGGACTTACCATCGTGGAGACTGCTGTGAGGACTGAACAGAGCCGTGTTTGGAGTCTCAGCCTGGAGCCTCGCCAGGGCAGGCACTCAGTGCAGCGGCCACGACCCCTCTTGCTGGGACTCACCAGCGGCAGCAGTGGATGCGGCGTGTGGGGGGGCGGGAAGCAGCCCAGGAGGTGGGGTGGGTGGGGGACGGTCCGAGGGGAAGGGGCTCCCAGCTGCTGTTTGAAGGACGGACCCTGTGTCCGCAGTGAGTTCCAGCTCACCTCCACGTCTCTGCTGGTTGAGGGATAATAAACACTGGTCTTCTCACCCCCACACGCTGGCATGGGAACTGACCTGGCCTTTGGCCTTGGCCTCCGGGGGCAGAATTCGGCATCTCAGCGTGGGCTCCGCACGTGGGCACGCCCAGGTGGGAGGGAGGAGGGCTGTGCTGTGGAGACTGGGCCTGGCCCTCCCACCAGTGTCAGGAGGCTGTGCCCTCTGGGCCCCGGGGGCCTGTCCGGGGTTTCTGGGCAGCACAACATGGGTGCCTCTCCGTGCCTCCCGAGTCTGCTGCAAGGCCAGGCCGTGGGAGCCGGCGGCAGCCTGTCCGGTGCGAGTGGTGGGCAGAGGCTGTGGATGGTTTGCTGGTGGTCGTTGGTGGAGACCGGGGTGCAGGGTAGAGAGATGGGTGGGGTTTGGGGAGACAACTGGGTATCAGATCCGGGTTCTGCCTCATCAGAACCCCCCTCCTTCCCTGGTCTGTCAGTGCCCGAACCCACTCTTCCCTGAGACCCATCTTGGAGCCACTCCCCGCTCCAGGGTACCCCCCAACCAGCTAGGCCCCTTCCTGCCTCCAAGCCTCCTCTGCCCCCTCTCTCTCTACGGCAGTGGGTGGAGCTGGTGGGGGCACCATCCCAGAGGCCCAGTGGTCCTTCCCGAGGGGGTGGGGAAGGAGGCCCCATGACAGTGGGGGATCTGCGGGGGAGCTCCTGCCGCTCCCCCCTCCCACTGCTGCGGGGGCCTGGCACCCGGCTTCAGGGCAGCATGTGGAAGAGAAGCAGTCAGCGGCTGCGGACTCCGCATACTCCAGCAGCCGCTCGCAGCCCAGCACGACTGGGGGTTCCTCCTGGCTCCCTAGGCACCCCATCCCCGCCTTCGCTGCACTGCTGGCTGCTGGTGACACGGGCAGAAACGGAACCGGGGCCAGCTGTGACTGTGAGGAGGGTGAGTCCTGCCCTGTGGCCGGGATTGCTGTTCTGGTTGCAGAGGCGCATGCTCACGTGGCTGGGAGCTGCAGTGGGACCCGGGGGCTCACCTGGGAATGCGGCCCATCCCCCACCAGGAGCTGCCCATGATCATGAAAGACGAGCAGCCTCATTGCAGAGACCAGAGCCCCCAGCCCGTCAAGGCCCCCCAGCCTTTGCTTACCCACAGGCCTTTGCATATTCAGCTGCATCGCCTGTGAACGGCCCATCTGGCACACCCTCTGCCTCCTTCCCCTGTAATCTCTGTCCTTCTACCCAATACAGCAGCTGGGCGGGGGGGAGGGGGGCAGATTTCTGTGGGTGACCTGCTGCTCTCCACGCTGCCGGCAGGACTGGAACACACGCTCATAGGATCCACCGTCTCTGCCGACTTGGCTCAGGTAGTGACAGGCGGCCGGACCCCTGGCTGTCACTGGGAGGTGCGTGTGCAGCTGAGGCCTCAGCTCTGCGGGCTCCAGTGGGGAGCGCCCCAGGCCCTGGTGATGTTCCCTGAGTGAGTGAGTGAGTGAGTGCGGGGAGGGGTGGAGGAAGCGGGGCCCTGGGGCCCTGGGTGGGGAGGTGCCAGGCAGTCCCTTCTCTGGGTGGGGAAGGGGGGCCCAGGTGGGAGGAAGGGCCCCTTCGGGGGGGGACATCTTCCTTTTTGTTCTCCCGCCCCCTCATTCCCGGGCCTGGGCCCACCTGCAGGTCCTCAGGTGCAAGGTGGCTCTCCCTGTCAGAGGAGGCACCTTCTGGGCGGACAGAATGAGGCTCCGGGGGGTCCCTGCCCGTCAGGCCACCTCCCGGTGTCTGGCCCCCTGAGCCCCCCACACAGGAGTGGCCCGAGCTTGGGGTGTGGTCACCCGTGTGGTGGGGAAATGACAGAGTGCTCTCCCCCTGCCCCCCGCCTGGGCACAGGAGCGGGTGGGCCTCAGGCACCCTAGGGTGTCTTCCAGTGGGCCCCAGGGCAGGGTGAGGGGAGAGAGGCCTCAAGAGCAAAGCAGAGGAGGGCACCCAGAGTCTCAGTTATCACGATAAACAGTATTTTAATGCAATACTGAAAGAAAAGGCCAACATTCAAGTAACGCCAGGCTCCGTCACAGGGCCGAGCCCAGCCCCAGGGGAGCCTGGGTGATGATGGTGATGATGGTAATGCTGATGGTTGGTGATGATGGTGGTGATGATGGTGATGATGGTAATGATGATGGTTGGTGATGATGGTGGTGATGATGGTGATGATGGTAATGATGATGGTTGGTGATGATGGTGGTGATGATGGTGATGGTGATGATGATGGTGGTGGTGATGGTGATGATGGTGGTGATGGTGATGATGGTGATGATGGTGGTGATGGTGATGATGGTAATGATGATGGTTGGTGATGATGGTGGTGATGATGGTGATGGTGATGATGGTAATGATGATGGTTGGTGATGATGGTGGTGATGATGGTGATGGTGATGATGGTAATGATGATGGTTGGTGATGATGGTGGTGATGATGGTGGTGATGATGGTGATGGTGATGATGATGGTGGTGGTGATGGTGATGATGGTGATGATGGTGATGATGGTGGTGATGATGGTGATGATGGTGGTGATGGTGATGATGGTGATGATGGTAATGATGATGGTTGGTGATGATGGTGGTGATGATGGTGATGGTGATGATGGTAATGATGATGGTTGGTGATGATGGTGGTGATGATGGTGATGGTGATGATGGTAATGATGATGGTTGGTGATGATGGTGGTGATGATGGTGGTGATGATGGTGATGGTGATGATGATGGTGGTGGTGATGGTGATGATGGTGATGATGGTGATGATGGTGGTGATGATGGTGATGATGGTGGTGATGGTGATGATGGTGGTGATGATGGTGGTGATGATGGCAATGATGATGGTTGGTGATGATGTTGGTGATGATGATGGTTGTGATGATGGTGATGATGGTGGTGATGATGGTGGTGGTGATGGTGGTGATGGTGATGATGGTGGTGATGAAGGTGGTGATGATGGTTGTGATGATGATAATGATGGTGGTGATGGTGATGATGGTGGTGATGATGGTGATGATGGTGGTGGTGATGGTGGCGATGATGGTGATGATGGTGGTGATGATGGTAAAGATGGTGATGATGGTGGCTTCTCCCTTCCCTGGAAGCATGGCTTCTAAGCCAGCACTTGGGCCGAATGACACCTATAGCCACATTCATCTGATATCATTGTATCTTGCATGTGCTTTAACTTAAATTGCCTCATTTGATGCTTCCACCTTTTGCTATGATGACAGCTAGGTAACTGGAGGCCCAGAGAAGTTTAGTAAATGCTCAAGGTCACACAGCCCACCGATGATGGAGTGAAGTAGGAACCAGACACTAAGATCCTCAGTGCAGATTCCGAGCGGCATTGGTGAGGAGCCCACCTGGTCCATTTTCATGCTCCCGCTGCCTCCCTCTCCCAGGTTGTCTTCGGAGGAAGACAAGCCCGCTCACTCTTGAACTTGCCACTTCCTTAGCTGTATAACCTTGCAAAGTCTCTTCAACCCTCTTGGCCTCAGTGTCCCCATCTGTGTAATGGGAATTACCACCAGGCTGTTGCTGGGCGTAGATGAGGTCATGCCTGTCAGAGCCGAGCACAGGGCCTGTGCCTAGCCTGTGCTCAGTGAGCATGGTTCTGGCGGGGCAGGGGCAGGTCTGCTCCTCGGGCACCCTCTGGGCGGTGGCCGAGGGCTGGGAGCTCTGCTCTTCCACGCCTGGTGGCGGCCGCATACCTGCCCTCAGTTCCCCAGGCCCGTCCAGTCTGCACACAGTGGTCCCCCCTTCAGAATGCTCTCCCCAGTGTCCCCGCTTCCCAGCCCCGCCCCCTAGCCTGCGCCCTAGGAGCTGTCATTAGGAAAAATGAACACGTTGGGTCTGACCTTCCAGGGGCCCACCCTTTCTCACCCGCTGAGGTCTGGCCCAGCTGGAGGGAGTTACTAGGATTTCACGCACATTCCTGAGGGGAGAGGGACTGTCTCCTTGCTGGGGACCCTGCCGGATAGGGATCTGACACCCCCCCCCCCCCTGCCCTCGGCCCTCCCTCGCTGAGGGAGAGACATGAGCAAGGACCTTGCCCAGCCAGGTGGGGAAAGCTAGGGGCACAGGGAAGCCATTTTTCTGCCACACCTGCTGGTGGGCTGGGCACTCCCCCTCGCGGCTCCCCCTTCGGGCTCTTTCCCCTGCATCTCCTCGCAGAGGCTGCTTGAAGGGAAAGGACAAGTCTGAGCCGGTGCACACAGTGGCCCGATTCTCCACGTCCTAGCAGGGTGGCCCTAACTGCTCTGAGCCTCAGTTTTCCCTTCTGTAAATGGGGATGTGGTAGAAATAAGTGTGATGCGTGTGGAGTGCCTGGCACAGAGCAGCAGGGGAGCACTGGAACAGCAGTACTGTCCTTGTGCTGGGATCACTGTTCTGACATTCAAGCAGGGGCTGGTGGGGGAGGGGAGCTTGGGGGTGGGGGAGGGGAGAGTGGAGGTGGGGAGGGTGGTGGTGGGGGTGGGGAGGGTGGTGGTGGCAATGCCCGCGGCTGTGCATAGCTCCAGATTCTCTAGCTCAGAAAGATCCCCTTCACCCCCTCGCCCCCCCCCCCATGCTGTCCGGGGAGCCGCTGTCCAGTGAGCCGCTGTCCAGTGAGCCGCTGTCCAGTGCCCAGTAGGAGAGCCGGGTAGAGTAAGGGGTCCCAGACTCTGTCCCTGCAGAAACCAAACCTCGCCAGTCAGTGTTGCTGAGGTCTCAGCCGCACGCCCCCAGAGCTGGCCCCAGTCCCCAGGAGCGGCCAGGGCAGGGATCCCCACCAGTCCATGGCCTTGAGGGACACATTTCAGCTCCTTGGCGGGGGTGGGGGGGTGGGGGGGTGATGCAAACCACCGAGCAGGGGCTAAGGGAATGTGGTCGCCACAAGGCAGAAGGCAGGTTCTGACACCTGAGGCCACGGCCACGGCCACGGCCACGGCCACGGCCACGGCCACGGCCACGGCCACGGCCACGGCCACGCAGGCCCCTCGGGTCAGGACTGTGCTCAGAACTGTGCGGGGGGAGGTCCTTCTGACACAGCGACAGGCCCTCAGCAGGCTAGGGCCCCGGGGGCAGCCTGCCTGGCCCGCACAGCTCGTGGTGTGCACCCCTCAGCCTCAGGGGACCCCAAACCACGCCTCTGTCCTCTCACCAGGTGTCTAAGAAACGCCTGCTGTGAACTAAACAAACAGCATCTGAAAGGCCCCACAGACTAAATGCTGTGATCTTTACGACAAAACAGAGGCGAGATCCTGGCAACGGCACCACATTTAGGGGAGAAACAGCCCGAGTACAGGTGAGAGGCCTGCTCAGAGGTAGCACCTGCAAAAGAGACTTACCCACCCCCCCCCGCCCGCCCCCGCCAGGAACCGCCCACCAGGAACCGCCCGCCAGGAACCGCCCACCAGGAACCGCCCGCCAGGAACCGCCGCCACGCGGAGCCCGCTGTGTCCACATCACCGCCAGGCGGGCAGCTGGGCTGGCTGTGCCCAGTGTCAGAGGAAGCAGGCCGGGCTCATGGGGACAAGCAGGTAACACCCCCCCCCCCACTCCTCCCTCCTGGAACAGCATTTTATCTCTGGCCCCAGAGTGAGAGGGAACTAGGGATGTGCTGGTGGTTGTGTGTGTGTGTGTGTGTGTGTGTGTGTGTGTGTGTGTGCGCGCATGTGTTTCAGAACAGCTGGAGTAACTGGGATTTTTTAAGCCAATATATATATATGTATATCTTTTTGTTGTTAATCCTCATCTGAGGCTATTTTTTCCGTTGATTTTTAGAGAGAGTGGAAGGGAGGGGGAGAGGGAGAAAGGGAGAGAGAGAAACATGGATGAGAGAGACACACTGACTGGTTGCCTCCTGCAAGCTCCCCTACCAGCGCCGGGGATCCAGCCTGCCTGCAACTGAGGCACATGCCCTGGACTGGAATCAAACCCGGGACCCTCAGTCTGCAGGCTGATGTTCTATCCACTGAGCCACACCAGCCAAGGCAACGTGTATACTTCTGTGATCCGTGACCTGTATTTCATTGTTGCTCACCACACACAGTCTGATCATCTCTCCCCACATACAGGTACCCCAAAAACACGCATAGCTCAGCCGACACTTCTTTCTTTTCAGCCAGACTAAGCTTTGAACAAAGGAAATTCATCCTAAAATGCTATGGAAGTTTGAAAATGCAGTTAAGTACAAACACTGCCTCTGCAATTATTCCAAGTGTGGATATATTTTTGGGGGGCATCCTGATAACTCATTTTTTACTCCTTTTCAGGTGTAACTGATTTGAAATAATAGGTGAAGCCAAACTAAGCTTTAAACAAAGAACATTTACCCACTAGACTTTTTATGGGGTACATAAGATAAAGCTTACAGTACTAATACTGAACAAAACAATTCTTGATGTTTGCGATTCCATTGCTTCACGTATCAGCAGTGCCTGGACCAGAACAGTCACCCATTTGAAAACTCATTAACAAAAAATTATTAATTTCTGTAGATTCTTTTAAATTTTGAAAATGAACTGTATGTTAATAAACACTGACTTTATAATCACTTAAGTGTGTGTACACTTTGGGGGATACCCTCTATTTGGCCCCCTCAAATGATCTCTTTTACAACTAATATAAGATGCTAAATTCTCAATTGGCCTGGAATCCTCTTAACACACTTCTGGTCTGAAGAACTCCTATACATCCTTCAAGGCCCAAGGGAAAGTCACCTCAGCCATCAAACCTCTCAGACCTTCCCAGACAGACGTAGCCACTCCCATTCTGTGCACAGACAGCGCTTCGCACACAGCCCTGCTTTAGCCCACCCCGAGAAGGCCCTGCTGCTTTGGAATTTGAGATCCTGGAGGATCTGAATTCTTTAAACAGTGCCTGGCCCAGGGGGAATGAATGAATGATTGAATGAATGCCTGCATAAGTGAATAAATGGACCCCTCCATTCATCAAGCTCATTCCCTTAACCACCTGCAACCAGAGGCCAAGGTGAGGACGGGAGAGGAGCCCTGTGGTCTCCAGGGAGAAGCTGTGACCGCTGGCTCCCAGGCCGGCCCCAGCCCAGTGGAGTGCAGGTGGCACACCCCAGGGGGCTGCCTCCAGGTCAGACAGCCTTGTTCTCTGCTCTGTTGAGGGTTGGGTGGGGGGCTGGGGACAAGGGCTGAGACATGGGCAAGGAGCCTAGCGCAAAACTGGTTCCAGCCAGCGGCTCCTGTGCCTGGACTCCTGGGGTCCTGGTGGGGGGGTTAGGGGGGGGCGGGCCTGGCCCTCCAGCCCAGAGGCTGTGCCCGGGACTGATTGGCCTGCCTCCTTCTGCCGCCAGAGAAAGTCTTCATCTGCTGGAACGCTCCAGTTAAATACCAATTAGGACGTCCTGTCCACTGCTCTCTCGCAGTATATTAGTCATGCCATTAGCACTGCTGCCTGTGCAAATTAAACATGCACTTAAACGGACGGCCTGGCGGACGGCCGGACGGGCGGAGGGGCACCTCCTCCGCCGGTTTGCATCGCATTCGAGCATCAACATCTAACAGTCCCGGACGGGCCTCCGGTGAGGGCCACCCGCTGCCGCCAGCTGCCGCTCGCTCGTCTCCACCGTCTCCGCGCCGGTCCACCGCCAGCCGGTCCGCCCGGCCCTGGTGCAGAGCAGCGCCTGGCCCCACGGCAGGAGGCCCTCTGCTAGGCAGCCCCGTGGCTCCCACCCCACCCCCCTGGCACGGAGGTGTGCGTTTCAGTGAGAGGAGGCGCTGGGGGTGGGGAGGGGCAGCCCCCGGAGCCCCTGCCGCTCCCACGCCGACCGATTGGTCCTGCATTCCAGCCGAGAGACGGGAAGCAGATGGTGCGGGAGGAGGAGGGGCAGCCGAGGACCCGCGGGGACGTCCCTGCCGCCGGCCCCTCCGAGGGCTGGGCTGCGGCGCCCTCGGCTAAGGACAGAGCTCCCGCCTCTGACCGGCCGGGGAGCGGGCACAGCAGGTGTGACGCCGCTTCTCCGAACAGCCAGGGGTGGCGGCAGGAAGCAGGCCGGCGGGGGGCGGGTAGCGGCGCTCCGGCCCCACCCCTCTGGTGCATCCCTAGGGCTCCCTCCACCCGCCGCCCGCGGAATGCTGCCGCCCTTTTCGTGCGGGAGAGGGCACCGTGGCAGCGGGAGCTGCGGGCGGACTCGAGCTGACCCTCGTGCCCTGCCTCGGAGGTCTTCTTAAACCACGTGTGTTTGCTGCCTTCAGAGGAAGGGCGGGGCGAGAGAAGCATCGACGAGGAGAGAGTCCCTGGCCGGCTGCCTCCTGCGCGCCCCCACGGGGATCAAGTCCGCACCCTGGGCCTGTGCCCCGTGGGATCGAACCGTGGCCTCCCGCCCAACCCCCAGCCACGCCGGCCGGGCTCCGGAGGCTCTTGCCTGTGGCCCGCTGGGTCCCCTCGGCCTGGGCGTGGGCGCCCCAGCCGGTCAGGATGGGCACCACCCCGGGGGCAGGAGGGACAGAGCAGCCAGCATTGTTTTCAACACTTTATTATAAAAAGTATTTTTCAAACCATGAGTTTTTTCTAATACAAGTAAAAGGGGGCGAGGCCAACACCCCCGGGTCGGAACCAGGAGACTGGGGCGCCCCTGGGACCGAAGATGAAAATGGCGACGAGAAACCGAGGCAAAGCTTGTGCATCGCGCTTAGGGGAGGGGCAGCTTCTCCCGGGTTTTGTTTTCATTTATACAAAACAACGCCCTCTGGGGGGCCAAGAACCCCCTCCTCGCAGCAGCAGGCGGAGGCAGCCAGGTCCAGGCGCCCTCCCCGTGGGCTGCGGGGACCTCCCGCTGCTGCGAGGAGGGGCCGTGGGGCCCCAGGAGGCCACCCCCCCCCCCCCACCATCCTGGTTCCTCCGCTTGGAGGGTGGCAGGACGATGGCACCAATGACCTGGGCACATGGAGGGGCTGGCGCTCCCGGGAGCCTGTCCTCTGCCCATTGCTCTGGTGCCTGGTGCCTGCACGCCTGTGAGTGTGCGGGGCCTGTGCCGGGTCTGCCAGAGGTGCACGCGCCCCACGTGCCCGTGTGCGCCTGCGGAGGCCCCCCGCACGCATCCCCGCACTGCTCTCTTCACACCGTCCTCCTGAGAGGCTCGGTGGTCTGCTCCGCGTTACAACAATATCAAAATTTTAAGAAAACGGGTACAGGGAGGTTGGGGTGGGCCGGGGCAGGGCACCCAGAGGCAGGATGACAGCGGGAGGTCTTGGCACCGTGAATACCAAGTTCATCTCATCTCCAGCCAGGAAGGGCTGGGGCTCAGCGGTGCTGGTGGCACAGAGAAGCAATGCCACCCGCCCCCCCCCCCCCCCCCCGTTCCCCGGCTGGGCCACTGCTCCCCGGGCCAGCTGGGCTGTCTGGGCCCCACAGCCGTGCTCAGCTCCCTGCAGACTTGGGCACAGAAAACCCCATCTCCCCAGGCCCCGGTGCAGACCCTGCCTTGCGCCCACTTTTGGCCGTGGGCGGCAGCTCTCCCCGGGGAAGGCTGCAGTGGGCTCCCGGCCAGGCAGGGGTCCCTCGTGGCCCATGCACGCGGCACAGGCACCATGATTTGTGCTTTGCTTGGGGGAGGGGGTGGTGTCGTCCTGGGGGGGGGGGGGGCTCCAAAGTCCATCATCAAGTGAGAAATAGGGGTGGCAGTGGTAGCATTGACAGAGGAGGAATCCTTTCAGTCTTACGGTTTCAAGGGGACAGAGAATGCCTCCACCAGGTAGGCCCCCGGGATTTCCCCCTGCTTGGGGGTGAGGAAGCTGGGTGGGGTCACTGTCCATAGGATGGACAGCGATGTCACATGGAGAAGGCCCCTCCCCTGGGGGCTAATCCTGCTGGGAGAAGCAGCCCATCCCTCCCTCCCTCCCTCCCTCCCTCCCTCCCTCCCTCCCTCCCTCCCTCCCTCTTCTCTGTGGCTGGAAAGACCCCAGAATTTTCTTCCCCGACTGCATGCCATCCAGCACCCTCAATGCTGAGGAGAGGGTGGCCCCAGGGCTGCCATGGCTTCAGATCTCTGCTACGTGGCTACTGGGTGGCTGGTGGGGCGTGGGGGCCAGGTGAGGGTGGCCCAATTGCGGGGCCCAAGGTTGCCAGGAGCTGGCCAGGGGTCCCATAGCAGCACCAGAGAGGGGAGAAATAGGGCGGCGGGGGGGGGGGGGGAACCTCCCTTGGGAAGCCTAAGGAAGGGCAAGCTGGTACCTGGGGGGCACAGAGCCATCTGCCCCTCCTCCCAGCACTTGCCATCCCATAGGGCTCCTGACAGCTGGGCCAAGTTCACCAGACCCCAGTGGGCAGGTGTGACCCCGCCTCCCCACCCCAGCGTCTCCCCATCCAGAGCCTGGGCTGTGAGGGGCAGAGGGAGGGCCTGAGGCACTTTGAGGAGGGACCAAGGGGCGGGGCGGGCCTTGCTCCTCTGTGGAGACTGGGGTGGGTGACTGACAGGAACTCGGGCCTATGCACGCGGAACATGCAGCTCAAAGGGACAGCTTCTCCCAGATGCCCAGGGACAGCTGAGCAGGAAGTGGTGTGGGGAGCAGGAGCTTCGGACTCAGTATCCCCGGCTCCCGCGTCCCCTCGCACTTTCTGGCCTCAGTGGGTGAGGCGCGACCCAAGTCTGAGCTCCTCCCGCATGGCTCCCTCCCCCCAGGCCGTGCCCCTCCACAGGGGTGCCGCTCACCTCTCACTCAGGGCCCCAACCCTGACCCCAAGGAAACGCGTTGCTGGGACTCGCTAGGTAAGGAGATCCGAGAGGCTCGGTGCTGTAAGGAGCGGTTTAGGGCCAGCCCGAGGTCCTGGGGAAGCCCGGGTGGAAGGGGAGGAGGCCTGTGACCCAGGGGTGCGGGAGCAGACGCGGGTGGCGGGTGTCTGTGTCGGCAGAGGTGAGTGGGGGTGCGGCCCCTCTGTGGGGACAGACTGAGGTGGCAAGGAGGGTCGTGTGGGACATCCCTCTGCAGGACGAGGAGGGCATACGCCACCAGCCTCCCCGGAGAGCACGCTGCCCATGGCCCAGGGGCCTCCGGTCTATGTAACAGCCTCACGGCGCCCTGGGCGCGCCCCTGCCTCTCGGGTCTAGACCGGCTCCAACGCCGGCCGCGTCCACTCGCACGGGCCGGGTGCCCTCTCCGTGGGAACGGGGAGCAGCATGTGGGGGAGGCTCCTCCTCAGGGAGGCCCTCCGGCCTGCTCCCCAGTGGAGAACAGACATTCCAGTGTTGGGTGGGGAGGGGGCTCCCGGGCTCTGGAGGGCTGGGTGCCCAGGTGCACGAGATGAGACCAGCGCAGGGCACCGCCAGGCAGAGGAGGCGCAGCAACATCCAAGCCACAGAGAGGACACGCGGGGAGGATGGGACCGGGGATCAGAACCAGGGCTCTGCCCAGGCCCCGGCTCTCCTCTCCGGAGGGCGTGTGGGCCGTCCCTGGGAGTCCGGGAGGGTCGCTGGGGAGGAGGCGGGACGTGCGGGCGGAGGGCGCAGACGGAGCTCTGGGAGGGACTACACGTACCACTCCTTCTTGGAAATGAAAGACCCATCGTTCTGAGAAACCATGTTGTCGGCCAAGTCCAGCTGCTCGGGGTCGTACTGGTAGCCCAGGGTCCGGTCCCCGTAGCCGTCCTGACAGGCCTGGGCCTCGTCCACCGTGAAGTAGGGCCGCTTGGCGTCCTCGTCGTACTTGGGGTGCGTGCCCCCCACCTTGCACTCGCGCCCCCCGCCGCCCTCCTCCTCCTCCTCCTCTTCGTAGCTGCTGCCCCCCAGCGGGCCGGCCTTCTTCTCGTCGTCCGAGTCGTCGGGGTACTGCAGGCTCTGGCCCAGCGGCGGGTGGTGCTGGGGGACGCCCGCCTTGCTGTAGCCGTTGCCGTACACGTGCTTCTTGGTGCTGTAGTCGCCCTTGAAGGTGTGGCGGCGCCGGCGCAGGGCCAGCACCGTGCCCCCGACCACCAGCAGCAGCAGCAGCACGCTCCCCGCCACGCCCCCGATGATGGCCGTGGGCACCGGCCCGGCCCGCCGCCCGTGCTCCGAAGGCGACGGGGTGTAGGGGAATTCTGGGGGAGGAAGAGATGGGGGGGTGGTCAGTGTCCGCTCGTTGGCCGGGAAGGGGGAGGCCGGCCAGGGAGTGGGCCCAAGGCCCAGGGACAGACAACTCCAGCGCCCCGCCCCCCCACCCAAGGCTGCAGGCCGAAGGGAGGCAGAGGCAGCTGTGTGGCCCCAGAGCCTCTGTGCCCGCCTCCTTGGCTGTGGTGCCGGCCCACCCTGACCCCGTGCCCACCGATGCATCACGGCCACGTCTCCCGTGGAGCAGGCTGCTGTCACTGCCCGTGAACACAGGGAGAGCCCAGAGGCTCAGTGACCTGCCCACAGCCAGCGGCCATGATGCAGCCAGGGCTCCTGCATGTCCAGCCCTTGCCAATGTCACCACTGCCTCTGCCCACACCTGCGGTCACCAGCCCCCTGACTTCACCTGCCCCTGGAGCATGAGGAGGAGGACCGGCTCCGGGGGCTGGCCCATAGATGCCCAGCAAGTGCCAGAAACGAGGGCTGTGACTCTGGGCTGTGGTCTGGCCCTGCAGGCACGGGGGGGGGGGGGGGGGCGGGGGGGGCGGGGGGGTAGCCAGGATGTGTAGGAACGGGCGTGCGAGCATGGGACTTGGTACTACAGGGGACAGAGGGCACCTGGGCACACACCCTGTGCCATGGCGAGCCGTGTGCCATGCTAATGTGTGTGTATGACACGGTCACACTGAGGACAGAGCGGAAGTGAGAGGCAGGAAAGGTAGAGAGGAGAAAGGAAGAGGCTGGGCAGGCGACTTTCCTGGCCAGTGGGGCCAGGCCAGAGGCCGAGGGGCAGTTCCCAGCACCACCACAGGGTGGCACCGGAGACCACGGCCAGCCGGGCCGGAGGAGCAGCGCGGGTCAAGGCACACCTGGAGGCTGGGGCCCTGGGCATCCCTCCTTTCTGCAGGTGGAGGGTGGGTTTGGGCCCACGTCCTGGCCTTCGGGTAGGTCTCTGCCAGCTCACGCTCTGATCCAGCTGCCCTCGCTGCGCGGGAACCTGCCGCTCCTCTGAGGCGGGCGGCCCCGCTGCGGTGTGCGGCGCTGTGGGCAGCAGGGGGGCAGGGCAGAGACTCCAGGATGGAAAAGTCCTTCCCAGGGCTCAGGCTGGCAGGGCCACCCACGGAGGAGGGGGTGGGGGTGTCCACGGGCGGAGTTGGCAGAGCTCCCGTCCCCATTGTGTCCTCCGTGCAGGTGCCCACATGGCCGCCCAATGGTTTTTATTTTTAAATCTAGTTTGTTTTTTTAAAAAATTGATTTCAGAGAGGAAGGGAGGGAGGGAGGGAGGGAGAGAGAGAGAGAAAGAGAGAGAGAGAGAGAGAGAGAGAGAGAGAGAGAGAGAGAGAAACATCCATGATGAGGGAATCATGGACCAGCTGCCTCCTGCTTGCCCCACGCTGGGGATGGAGCCTGCAACCCAGGCCTGTGCCCTGACCGGGAATGAACCCTGACCTCCTGCTTCAGAGGTCAACGTTCAACCACTGAGCCACGCCGGCCGGGCTGCCCAATGATTATTTACTGAATATCTGTCCTCACTGCCCACGTCCAGGGCAGCATCTCTGGAGCCTCAAGGTTCTTCTGGTCTCACACATGCTCCCCACGAGGGGCACCGAGAGGCAGCGGCCTCTTCCAGAACTTGCACTGCCTGTGACCTCCCCCTGTCTGTGACCTCCCCCTGTCTGTGACCTCCCCCTGTCTGTGACCTTCCCCTCCTGTGACCTTCCTCTGTCTGTGACCTTCCCCTATCTGTGACCTCCCCGTCTGTGACCTTTCCCTGTCCGTGACCTCCCCCTGTCCGTGACCTTCCCCTGTCTGTGACCTTTCCCTGTCTGTGACCTCCCCCTGTCTGTGACCTTCCCCTCCTGTGACCTCCCCCTGTCTGTGACCTTCCCCTCCTGTGACCTTCCCCTGTCTGCAACCTCCCCCTGTCTGTGACCTCCCCCTGTCTGTGACCTTCCCCTGTCTGTGACCTTCCCCCCTGTGACCTTCCCCCCTGTGGCCGCTCCAGTTCCCACCCAGGCCGGATGCTCTCTCCTCTCTTCACCTGCTCCACCTGTCACCCATCCACTCATCCTTCCGTCTGTCCATCCGCCCGGCCACCTGGTCAGCAAGCGTGTGCTGAGCACCTACTTTGCTCGTGTCCACAGGGGCAGGACTCGCGCTCTTGGAGACGAGTTTTAGAGAGTGGGAGAAAGGGAGAGACACACCATTGTGAGAGACACATCGATTGGTTGCCTCCCACAGGCACCCTGACCTGGGGCTGGGGAGGAGCCTGCAACCAAGGTACATGCCCTTGACTGGAATCAAACCTGGGACCCTTCGGTCTGCAGGCTGATGCTCTATCCACTGAGCCACACTGGCCAGGGCCCCGGGGAGCTTTCTGGACCAGGGGAACCCTGGTTGTGTTGGCTGTGTTAGGTCCAGGCTTGTGCAGAGGAAGAAGAATGGCTTAAGACGACTCTAGCCCCACAGACTTGGGGGGGAAGATGCTACGCGGGGAGCCGAGAGCAGTCGCTACAGGGACAAACGCAGCTGCGCGGGCTGCCTGCCTTGGAGAGCCCGCCCGCACACTCTGTCCCTCCAGCTGTCCGTGCCAGCAGCACACACAGCCCCCATCGCTGAGCGGGGAGGGAGGGAGGGCTCGGCGGGGTTGCCGTGCTTGCTGGCGGCGGGATCCAGCTGCAGCCCTCAAATCCTCTTACAAAGGGCAGCGCGCCGTTCCTGACTGGCTGCGCTTCCCCTGGGGCACGGGCCTCTGCGTCCCTGGGGCCCTGGGCCCTGACGGAGCTGCGGGGGCTTCGGTGGGTGAGCAGAGCGGAGGGCGGGGCTGGCCGTCTGGATCTAGGATCTGGAGGAGGCCTGTGGCCAACAGGAATGTTTGGACTCGCTTCCCAAACCAACACAGACAGGCAGGAAGTGCTCGGGCACCAGACTAGGCTGGACGCTGTGAGAACTACACCTCCCAGCATGCAGTGCGGCGAGCCAGAGACAGTGGGAAGGCCGGGGGTCAGACTCCGGGGAGCTCTTCCCTCCTCTGCAGCTGCAGCAGCTGAGCATCTGTCAGGCCCGCAAAGGGGCCTCGTCGAGCCCGTGGGACGCCGGGTCCTCCGAGGTGCAGGCACAGCTGCCTTCCCAGACCCCCGCCCCAGCCCAGCGGGCTGTTGGCACACTCAGCACGCAGCCGCTCACCTGCTGCTGGCACATCTCCTCGCCAGGGGCACCCCTTCAGGACCGCTGCACCAGCCCGGGGTCTGAAGAGCACCTTGCCCATGGGGCACGCCCTGTCACCTTCATGGGAGGGGGCTGACCCCCTACACCCCACGGCCTCCCTGGCCTGCTCTGCAAGTGGCCTGAACCCCCAGCCCAGGGGCCTAATTCAGCCCCTTTAGTTTGATCAGGGACACCTCCTGAGCGCCACCCCACGGGGAGAAGGGAGGGGCTCACCAGTTTGTTTTGTGACCTGCCCTCAGCGGGGCTCAGGCCCCGTGGGAGCCCCAGGGAGGTCGTTTCCTCTGCTCTCACCCCATGGCCCCCGTGCAGGCCCTGGGTCCCCTAGGAAGACCCACACGCAGCCCTCACTGCTCCCCGCGGCATCCACAGCGCCTCCCAAATGCACGGTCGGAACCAGCCCTGCCACTGCCTCTCCGGGAACCCGCAGGCTCCCCTCGGACAGAGAAAGCCCCTGCTTCCGTTTCCTCCCACACACTCCCCCAGGGGACCCCCACCTCCGCCCACGCACTCATCCCTGTAGGAACAACTCAAATACCACCTCTTCTGGGACCCGGGACCTAGAGAATCCTGTGCCAAAGCATGTGTGTGTGGGGGGGTGCAGTGGCCAGGGACACGTGTGCCCTGCACACACGTGTGTTGTGCACACGCCCTGCGGCCCACCTTCTGTCCATCCTGGCCCCACTGCTCTCCATCCCTCTGCACAGGCACCAGGGCTCAGCTGCTCCCCGAACCGATGGGAGAACGAAAACGAGAGCTTCCACTGCTCGTCTCCCTCACACGGTCCCTCCAGGCCGGCCGGGCGTGGGGAGGACAGGGGGTGTGACTGGGGTGCGTGGGCGGAGGTTATGGGGCCCAGGGCAGGCTGGTGTGACCATCAGAGCCCGAGGTCTCCACAGAAAGCCCAGGGAGCTGAGGCCCCGAGCGAAGGACTAGTTCAAGGCCACAGCCAGAAGGGCAAGTGTGTGAACACACTCAGGCCGAGTCTGTACCCCCATACGCCGCCTCTCCCTGGGTGGTCAGGCTCCCTCATGACGACCCCTCACTCTTGCTGCACCCAGTGCCAGCCTGTGGGGCGGCCTCGGCTCTTTCCAGTCTAACAGGTCCCTCCCGAAGAGCCTGGAGGCCAATGGCAGGGAATTGAAGAAAAGAGCAAGTGCCCCCCCTGCACCCCGAGAGGTGACAGACAGCCCGGCCTAGGTCGAGGCGGCCTTAGTGCAGCCACAGCTGCTCTTCCTGCAGCTGGGCCCCAAAATACCAACAAGGCCGCCCTCCTCACAGGCTCGGAACTCACGGTCCTCAGGTTTGCCCAGCCCTGCCCTGGGCCCCATAACCTCCGCCCACGCACCCCTGTCCCCGAGACACACCCGCGATGCCACTCTCTGCCACGCTCTCATCCTGCACGGCCAAGGCACAAGTTGAAGACACGCCTCCTCCACCTGGGAAGCTGGGAGGCCTTCCCCTCTGCTGGTCTGTTCCCGTCTTTCCCGCCGTAGTGACAACGGAGGCTGAGACGACCACGGAGGGTGGGCCATTCACAGGGAGGAGGTCTGTGCTGTCCTTGGCCCACATTCGGTATAACCCTGACCCTTCACGGCACCCCGTATTTTCCCCATTTTACAGACGAGGGCGCGTCCAGGTCCCGCCCGCCTGACACGGAAGGCCTTGCTCCTTCCCAGCCCTGTGAGTCTCCGAGCCTCTCAGCCCACATCCTCCCTTTGCCCCCAAAGCCTCCTCATCTGCATTGACAGAGAGAGAAATGCAGGGAGGACATCAGTTCAGCGGCAGGGCCCACACACCACCCTGGCTCTGGGCGACCTCCTTGCTCTCCCTCCAGTATCCCTGCAGAGGCCGGCCCCCTCCTCCTCCAGGCCGGCCCCCTCCTCCAGGCCGGCCCCCTCCTCCAGGCAGGCCTCCTCTTCCTCCAGGCCATCCTCCTCCTCCTCCAGGCAGGCCCCCTCCTCCAGGCCGGCCTCCTCCTCCTCCAGGCAGGCCCCCTCCTCCAGGCCGGCCTCCTCCTCCTCCAGGCCGGCCCCCTCCTCCAGGCAGGCCTCCTCCTCCTCCAGGCCGGCCCCCTCCTCCAGGCCAGCCTCCTCCTCCTCCAGGCCGGCCCCCTCCTCCAGGCCAGCCCCCTCCTCCTCCAGGCCGTCCCCCTCCTCCAGGCTGGCCTCCTCCTCCTCCAGGCCGGCCTCCTCTTCCTCCTCCTCCAGGCCGGCCTCCTCCTCCAGCACATGGGAGCTCCCTGAACCCCAGAGGCAGAGCTTGGAAATTAGCTCCATCGCAACCCCCCTCCCTCAAGCTGGCCTCCACAGTGGCTGCTGCTGGCAGAGCCCAGGGTGGACGCTCACACCGCTACCACAAGCAGCTCTGCTGTGAACAGCACTTACCCCCTCCTGCTCAGGGCCTCCCGACCGTCTCTCACAGCCATGAACGAGGAAAGAGAAAGGCCAGGGTTCCCAGGAGAATGGGAGACGGAGGAAAAGGGGGCACAGCTTCCTGTGACAAAGCCACCGGAAGGCGGGACGCGCAGTGGAGGAGCAGTGGGGGGCAGGGGGCGGGAGGGTGCGGCTGCCCACCTGTGATGTTGACCTCCACCTGGCCCGAGCGGGTGCCGATGGGGTTGGTGGCCTCGCAGACGTAGGTCCCCGTCAGGCTGTAGTCGATAGGACCCCTGAAGAAGAGGGTTGTGTTCTGGGCCTCCACGCCCCTGGGCAGAGAGCCGTTCAGCCTGTGGGGTGGGGACACGGCCGTCAGGACCCTCCTGCCACCACCTGGCGCCAGCCCAGCAGTGAGCGGGCGGGCCTGGCTCGGAAGGAGTCAGAGGGGAACCAGCACCACTGCCTGCATGGGGCAGCGCTCTGGGCCTCGGCCGTTCACTCCTGACTGTCACTGCCCGGAGGCTCCCAGGGATGGGGGCCCCGCTGGACAGGTGGAGGGCCCTGAGGGTCACGGCCAAGGAAAGCCAGTAAGGGGCAGGCCTGGAGCTTCGACCAGCTCTCTGGACGCCTGCCCGGCGCTCTTTCTAACACTCATGGCTCCTGGTTGTTGACCTGGTTAACCACACAGATGTCTGGGCTCTCGCCCCAGCTCCACTAAAGCAGGACCACTGGGGCCATGGCCTGGGGAGCTGTATTTTTTTTTAAATTTTTTTTATTGATTTGAGAAAGGGAGAGGGAGAGAGAGAAACATCAATGATGAGAATCATTGATTGGCTGCCTCCTGCACACCCCACACTGGGATGGAACCTGCAACCTGGGCATGTGCCCTGATCAGGAATTGAACCATGACCTCCTGGTTCATAAGTCGACCCTCAACCCCTGAGCCACGCCAGCCGGGCTGGCTATCTGCATTTTAACAAGCTACTTGGGTAAGGAGATGTGACCCAGGCTTAGGAATTGTTCCATGTCCCTCTCTTGTGTTCTTGCTGGTCATGTCACAGGGCTGGAAGTTTCCGGAACATAGGGAACTTCCTTCCTCTTGATCGCCAAGGCGCAGAGCGATTACTCCGTGGGCTCCACAGCTGCGGGGCCCACGGATGGCAGTGGCGAGCAGGCCCCACGCACTCACACCTTCAGAAGCACTTCCGGTTCCAGGAGGTAGAGGGCGATGGCAGGTGCCCAGTGCCCTCTCCCTCCTGCAAAAGAATGTGGAGCCCTGGTTGGTGTAGCTCAGTGGGTAGAGCGTCGGCCTGCGGATTGAAGGGTCCGGTTTGATTCCTGGTCGGAGCACAGGCCCAGGTTGAGGGCTGGATCCCCAGTCGGGGGCCTGCAGGAGGCAGCCGATCCATGATTCCCTCTCATCACTGATGTTTCTCTCTTTCCCTCTCCCTTCCTCTTTGAAATCAATAAAAATATATTTTAAAAATAATAAATGTGTTTAAAAAAAGAAAAAGATGTAGATGTAATCTAGACAGCCGTCTCTGCCCACCGTGTCGGCTCCTCCGTGGCCTCCCTACCCACAGCCCTTCTCCAGGAGAGCTGGTGGCGGCACTGGGCCACTGGAGGGGACAGAGCCCTGAGGACCAGGCCTGAGGCCCGCGAAGCCAGGAGAGGGACAACGGGAGGTGGGAGGAGCCCCCTGCACACAGGTGCTCTGGGCTGACGGCGGCCTCCTCCCTGAGAACATGGGGGTGTTGGAGGAGGAACAGGAATAGAGAAAGGTCTGGAAGGCTCCAGAAAGCCAGCTTTCCTGGGGACACCTGGACAGAAATAAATGCTGGGGGCTGGGGTGGCAGCGACTCAGACTGAATCACCCACGGGAAAGGCAGCATTATTAGGAGCAGAAGGGGGCAGGTCACAAGGTGAGCCTCTGGCCGACCGGTCTGTCCCGCTGACCAACGCTGTCACTCACTCAGGCCTCTCACGGTCCATTCCCCTCTCACCAAGAAACCCGAGCCTAGACCTGAATTTCCTCCCTGGCTCACACTCCTGAGGTTGGGTGGGGCCCTCTGTGACCAGCAGGCACCCAAGGGGCCGGCCCTCGCACTCACGTGGTCCAGTGGTACTCGGTGGCCGGGGGGTTAGCGTCGGCTTTGCAGGTGAGCTTCACATCCATCCGCTGCAGGTACCAATTCCCATCAAACCCTTCGATGGTCACCTCAGGCTCATCTGTGGCCAAAAGAACGAGGTCAGAGGAGCAGGACGTGAGGCCAGGGGACCCCAGACAGCGAAGGGGTGGCACTGACAGTGGCACGGAACCAGCTGAGAGGGGAAGCGTGAGGGGTGGGAAGACCACAGAACAACAAGGGGAACAACGAGGAGGAGAGGAAGGGTGAGCAAAGGGAGGTGATGGGGAAGAGAGGAGGGGGACGAATCAGCCCAGAAAGAGAACAGGAGGAGGAAGAGGAGAGGGGAGAGGGCAGAAGGAAGGGGAGAGGTGGGAGGGGAGAAAGGGGGCTGGGAGGGTGACAGGAGAAGGGAGGCCCGGGGAGGGCGGGGCGGGAAGGGACAGTGCCCTCCCGGAGGCCCGCCCGCCGCACCTGCCCCTGCTCACACTGCACGTGGACGGTGATGCTTTCCCGGAAGCGGTCCAGGTGGTAGTTGACGACGCAGGCCAGGGGCTGCAGGTGGGCCTCCCGGCCGGGCACCAGGCGGTAGCGGCTGACAACGGTGACCGTGCCGTTGGGGTTCCGGACCTCCTGGTACTCAGCCTCCCCCTTCAGCCGCGTTTCCCAGGACAGCACGCCAGGCGGCTTCCCGTTGGCCGAGGTGCAGGTGGCCACCAGGACCTTCTCGTCCCGCCCCTTCTCTGCACGGAGCGCTGCCTGGCTGCTCTCGATCCAGTTGGTGGGTTTGGCTGCAGGAAGTGGAGGGAACCATGGGCCTGGCTCTCATGCCCGGTCAGAGGGGCCCGGGTGGGGTGCCCCTGCCAGGCCTCGCTCAGGTCTCCGTAGCTGTCCTTATCGCTGTGCTCCCGGCACCCCTCCCGCGACTCTGCATGGCCGACCTCTGCTCCACCAACTGCACCGCCTTGGGCAGGCCCAGGCCTCTGGGAGGCGGGCCACGATCCAGGCAATGGCTCCTGCAGCCCTCTGTCCCGTGGCGTCTGAGGTTCTGCACACCTCCTGCCACCCACCAGTGGCCCCACAGTGGGGCTGAAGCCTGAATACTGGCCCTCAGCTCCGTCCAGAGCCGAGGGCCTGCCCCCACCCCTAGGAACTGTGGGCAGCCAGGCCAGAGGGACTGGAGGTACCAGGCCTGGAGCCCTGGGAGCTCGCCAACAGAAGAGAGTGTCTGGGCCCCTGAAACACACGGAGGCCACACCCAGCGCAGGCCCTCGCCCGCGGGGAGGGAGGGGGCAGCTCACCCATCACGGTCAGGTTGAGCTGGCTCTCTCGGTTGCCCGCAGGGAAGGTGGCAAACTCGCAGATGTAGACGCCCTCGTCGTCCAGCTCGAGGCGGGAGAGGCGGATGGTGCCGTCGGTGAAGGAAGGCCGCAGGAACTGCACGCGGTCGCGGTAGGGGGCCAGCACCGAGACGCCCATGGCCGGGTTGTAGATGGCCACGTTCTGCTTGGAGCCGTTGGTCGCCTTCTGCCAGGTGACCTGGGTGATCTTCACGCTGGGCAGCGGGTTGGCGAAGTTGCAGTGCAGCACCACGTCAGTGCCGACGAACCCGTACATGGAGTCGTTCACCTGCACCATCTGGGCATGGGCACCTGGGCGAGGGCGAGGGCGCGGGGGAGGGTCAGGGCAGGCACGCCCTCCACCCCCTCCCTGCGACCGGCTTCCCTTTCCCAGCAGTCACACTCCCCTTATTCTTTTTTAAAAATATATTTTTATTGGTTTCAGGGAGGAGAGGGAGAGAGAAACATCAATGATGAGAGAAAGTCATTGATTGGCTGCCTCCTGCACACCCCACACTGGGGATCAAGTCCTCATGGACATGTGCCCTGACTGGAATCAAATCATGGTTCATAGGTCGGTGCTCAACCGCTGAGCCACGCCAGCTGGGCATGTTCTCCTCATTCTGATTACACACAGAATACGTGCTTGTTATAGAAACACTGGGTGACACTGAAAAATACTGAGATGAGCCTGGCTGGTGTGGCTCAGTGGATAGAGCGTTGACCTGCAGACTGAAGGGTCCCAGGTTCCATTCTGGTCAAGGGCATGCACCTGGGTTGTGGGCTCGATCCCCCCAGAGTGGGGCATGCAGGAGGCAGCCAATCCATGGTTCTCTCTCATCATTGATGTTTCTATCTCTCTCCCCCTCTCCCTTCCTCTCTGAAATCAATAAAAATATAGAAAGGAAAAAAAGAAAAATACTGAGAAGAAAGTGAGAACCCATGACCCCGCCACTGAGAAATGCCTGGTAATCTTGTGGGAACGCCCTTGCACTTTCCTCTCTATAGCTGTCCCCCCATCTATTTACTTTTTTTCACAAAATCAAGACCATGCTTTGCATGTTGCTCCCTATGCTGCCTTCCAGCATAGCACCATAGCTGGAGCTATGTTGTCAATATTGCTCCACGGCAGCAAGTACCTGTCCACACCCTCATTTTTCAGTTTTTTGGCTAATCCTCAGCCGAGGATATTTTTCCATTGATTTTTAGAGAGAGTGGAAGGGAGGGGGGAGAGAGAGAGAGAAACATCGATGTAGAGACACAGGGACAGGGAGGAGCCTGCAACCAACATACATGCTTTTGACTGGAATAGAACCCTGGACCCCTCAGCCTGCAGGCCAATGCTCTATCCACTGAGCCACACGGGCCAGAGCTCATTTTCCATTTCCAATGAGGGTTGAATACGCTGCTTTTGAGCCCAGCCCAGCCGAGAGCCACCGGCCGCTTCACTTGCGGGGCCTGGGTTCCCTCCTCTGGCAGATGGGGCAGATAACCCACGGCCTCCACCTCACAGGGCTGCCAGAGAGCCAAATGGCCTGACGGACGAGGACCCGAGGAGGCAGGCAGCGCTGGGGGACACAGGAGCCCGGGCTCCTGCTCTCTCCTCCGCAGAGCTGCGTCCTGTGCCGGGTGCACTGGCTCGCTGCGCCCCCCGCCCCCCGCTCCCCACCCCAACCCAGCGGGGCAGGCAGAAGCACGCGGGGCCTTCAGAACTTGCTGGTTTCTGAGTTTCCCTCCCTTCTCCCATTCACTCTGCCACCAGGTGCTGAGGCCACTATCAGCACTTGAATCATATGAGCAATTCAGCCCCCGCCCCAAGGAGCAGATGCGACACTTCCTGCCTCCGACTCACGCAGTTCCTAGAAGGCCCGCCCTCCTGCCCCTGGATAATCCACTCGGCCACCTCCTCTGGGAAGCCCCCCTGATCCTCCAGCTGGGAACCCAGCCACATCCATTACAGCTCTTTTCTGCCTCGTGACGCCTCCGCCAGGCTGACTTGCCCAGAGCAGGTCTGTGTCTTTCACATCTGTGTCCTGTGCCCAGTGCCTGGCCCCACGGCACACTGGTGCCCGGGAAACATGTTCTACAGAGGATTCCCAGATCAGCCGGCCGGGGAGCACCACTGGCTGCAGCGTCGCCCCGACCCGCTGGGGCTGCACGCGGCACCCCTGGGCAGGGCACACACAAGAATCAACCCGCGAACGCGTCAGTAAGTGGGACAACAAACCTCTCTCCCTCTTCCTGCCTCTGAGACCAATCAATAAACAAATTATTCACAAGTCACCATGGAAGCAGGGGGTGGGGATTCGCAGGAAGGAGGGAGCGATCGGTGGGACTGAATAAATACCCCCATGGCCTCCCCCACGCTGTTCTATCCCATCAGAGTGGCTTCTGTTTGCGCTTCCACAGCCTGAACTTGGCTGAGCCCTGACCGGGCGGCCACCTCCTCTAGGCGTGCCTTCCGCTCTCTGCGCCGGGGCCTCTGTGCACAGCATGTCCCCGCGTCCTTTCTCCGCAGCCGGTCTACTGAGCGCCATCAGCAACCAGTGCCGGGCCCTGCACGGACCCAGGGACACAGCACGTCCCCGCGTCCTTTCTCCGCGGCCGGTCTACTGAGCGCCATCAGCAACCAGTGCCGGGCCCTGCACGGACCCAGGCACACAGCACGGCCGAGGGCAGTGATGGCGAACCTTTTGAGCTCGGCGTGTCAGCATTTTGAAAAACCCTAACTTAACTCTGGTGTTGTGTCACATATAGAAAGTTTTTGATATTTGCAACCATAGTAAAACAAAGGCTTATATTTGATATTTATTTTATGTATTTAAATGCCATTTAACAAAGAAAAATCAACCAAAAAAACGAGTTCGTGTGTCACCTCTGACACGCGTGTCATAGGTTCGCCATCACTGGCCTAGGGGCTTCCAGAGGGGTCTGGGGTTCCACAGCAGGAGCGTGGCCGTGCCGCCTCTGCATGGGGGCACCTGGGAGCAGGGCAGTCCTCTGAAGGCCCCAATGCCAGGGTCAGGGAAGCGGGCTGGCCCCTCGTCCCCTTATGAGGGCACCGGCCTGCACTCCCGAGGCCACGGGCTGTGCCCTGTGCTGGGCACCCAGGGACTCAGGAAATGCTTGTGACTAAAGGTCGCTGGTCCTCCACACCAGGCCCCTGCCACGCTCCGAGAGCTCCCCTGAGGTCCCCCTTCTCCCCCGCCCGCACGTCCGTCCACAAGACCCACCGGGGTATCTATAGCCCCACCCCCAGCTGTCCCTCAGTCAGTCTGTGGGGTTCCAACATGTCCCTGGCAGATGCCCTGCAGGCTGGTGGGCATCTGACAGAGGAGTGCCCACAGGAAGGAGGAGGCCTGAGTCCTAGCGGCTCCATCTTGAGCTGCCTAAGACCTGGCCAGGAGCCCCCGCTGAGCCCCACTTTCTTCTCCCCGAGCGGCCCTAACTGTTTGATTCCCTGAACTGTAGCCCAGCCCAGTGTGGTCAGTGGGCCGGACAGCTCAGGACCCTAGCTGATGGCGCGGGGCCAGCAGGGAAGTCCTGGGCCCTCCCAGGAGAACAGGGGTGGGTGCTCCCTGCCTTGCCCCCAGCCCCCACTTGCCAGGCTCGCCCAGCAGCTGAGATAATGCGGGTACAATTGAGGAGCTTTCACCAACACAGCAGAACAGGAAAAGCCGGTTGGGAGCGCTTGGGCCCGGGTGCAGGCAGGGTGGAGAGAGGGGTGCCCCCAGCAGCCATCTGGGGGTTGGTGTCGGGCACCGTGGGGCCTGCAGAGGGACAAGGCCACCCTGGAGGCAGCGACTGCCTCTCCCCACATCTCCCTGCGGGTGTGCCTGGCCCCGAGGCTGACAGTCATTATGGCCTCTTCAGCGGTGACCTGACCCTTAGAGCTGAGTGCCAGGCAAGGGCTGGCAGCACCTGGCGTGGGCGGGAGGGCGCTGCAGGGGCGCGGGCACCGCGGTCCCTCTACCAGCAATGCCTCCTCGGACAGATGTGGCCTTTCCCTGCCCCAGTCCTGCGTGAGGGGAGGCCGCTCCTCTCCGGTCGCTCTCCCAGAAGCCACCGTGGTGAGCAGTGAGGAAAGCGCCCGGGTGCCCGTTCACTGGGCAGAGTGGGTTCTCCTGGCCCGCGCTCCTTTGCCTGGGGTGGGTGGGCCAGGCACAGTGGTGGGAAGACCTCCAGGGAGCAGGCGACTCATTCTGATGTGGATCTCTGTGCCCACAGCACTGCTGGCAGGGCCGGGGGTGTGGCCCTGGGGTGGGCATGGGGTCACTAGGGTGGGGCTCAGTAGTGGAACTGGGAAGACTGGGAAGGCCTGAAGACCCCCCTTGCAGCCCTCCCCCACCCGCCATGCTTAGGAGCCCAGAACCCAAACGTCTGGCCTGGGGCTGCCTGTCCTGGTCGGACGGGGTTGTCAGGGAGAACGCCCTTGCTGTTGACACTGGGCAGGTGGGGGCTTTCAGAGAGGGAGGCAGACTCCTGGTGATGCTGACAGGCAGGGCCAGAATGCCAGTCACTGAGGGAACAGGCTCACCACTGAAGGGAGAGAAAGGGCTGATGGGAAAGGCAGGAGTCAGGCAGGGCCTCCTGGGGCAGAAAGCCCCCTGGCAGCCGGGAGAGTGGAGGGATGGAGGGAGGCCCCTCGGACACTGACGAGGATCATCACCCCCATCCCAGCCCTCTCCATGGTGTCCAGGCCTCTCCACCAGCCCCCTGGCTCTGACACCCCGAAAACAGACGCTATGACTCATCTACACTGCCCACCCTCTGCCTCCCCCAGGGCAGTCCAGCCCCTTCCTGGCAGCCAGTCGGGGGGCTGCGGAGGCCAGCAGTGTGGGCTTCACTCCCCCCGGCCATGTGCGAGCTGGGGAACCTGGGGTGAATGACTTCCCCTCTTCGTACCCCAATTTGCACTGAGGTTGCACATCTGTAACATAGAGATCATAATAGCACATACCCCACAAAATCGTTGTAAGGATTAAATGAGGGGGCACAAGTGAAAGAGAAGCAGCACTAAGCACAAATCAAATGCTCAGTAAATGTTAGCTGCTGTCATCGTCACCATCATCATCATTGTCACCATGCTCAGTCACCACCATCACTGTCATCACCACCATCACTGTCATCACCACCATCACTGTCACCATCACCATCACTGTCATCATCACCATCACTGTCACCATCATCATCACTGTCACCATCATCATCACTGTCACCATGCTCAGTCACCACCATCATTACCACCACCATCACTGTCATCATCACCATCACTGTCATCACGACCATCACTGTCATCATCACCATCACTG